TACATGTCTCTTGTAAGTGTACAAGAATTTCTCTAAGAGTAATGATGCTGGGTCATCGATTGTGTGTACGTTCAGCTTCCTTTCCAAAGTGGACCATCTCTAGCACTGTGAGACAGTTCATTTTGCATCCTTGGCAACACTTAATTTTGTCAGGTTTATTAATTCTTGCTAATCTAATAGACCTTAGGCATGAATTGTAGTTACAGTTTGCATTTCAGTCCTCTTGCCCATTATTATCAGTTCTTAGAAATTCTTCACGTATTCTGGATACCAATTTTTGTTGGTTAAGTATCTTTTCCCAGGATGTGGCTCGTCTTTTCCCATTCTTGATGGTACTTTTTCATTAACAAACATTAACTCTAATGTGACTGATTTTTTTTCTTTTATGTATTCTACTTTTTATTATTGATTTATGATATATTAAGGAAAGATAAAGCTATTGTTCTATATTGTCTTCTGAATACCTCATATATAGCTTTGCTTTTCCTAGTTAGGTCTTTAACCCAACTGGAAGAACTTTTTGTGTATGACATGAGGTAAGGATTGCATTATACTTTTTTCCATCATCACCTTACAACATGGTCCATATTTTACCTGCAGAACCACTCTCACCCATCAGATGTCCAAATGCACAGGTCTGGTTCTGGGCTCTCATCTGTTCAATCAGGCTTTCTGTCCATCACCATACCATTACATCATGGTCTAAATTACTATAACTTTGTACAAGTCAGTATCTCTGAGAGCTAGTCCACTTGCCTTATTCTTAAAGATTGTTATGGTTCTTTGTAGCCCTGGTACTTTGACATAAATTTTTGAATAAGCTAGTTAAGTTTCACAAAACTTTCCTGTATTTGGAATCTCATTGAATCTATAAGATAACTTTGGGGAAAATTTACATCTATGATAGAGTCTTCTAATCCTCGAACATGACATGTCTATTTAGGTCTTTATTGTCTTTCAATTAAATTTTATACTTTTTCACACAGTGGTTTTACATGTCTTATTTTATAGATTTTTCCCGGATACTTTGCATTTTATATGCCATTGTAACTATCTTTTATTTTTTTATATTGTCTGTTGCTAGTATTTAGAAGTCCAGTTGCTTTTGTGTTCAGCAACCTTGCCAAAATGCTTAATTCTAGTAATGTATTTCTAGTTTCTTTTGTATTTTTTCTGTTATGCAATCATATTAGTGAAAATTTTGTTTCTTTTCAATTTTTATATCTTTATTTTTCTTGTCTTACTGTGCTTATTGGGATTTATTGTGCAGTGTTGATTGGAAGTGATGATAGTGGACTTCCTGCCCATGTTTCTGATTTCAAGGGGAACATTCTCAGTGTTTCATCAGTAAGTATGATATTTGCTGGAGGTGTTTTTATAAATACCCTTTATCAAGTTAACAGAGTTATTTGGTATTACTACTTGGTGAGTTTTTATCATGCTTGAGAGCATTTATCAAATACTTTCCCTGTATCTGTTGAGATGATCATATGATTTTTTTCCATCTTTGATATGTTAAATTGAGTTAGTTTTCTGAAGTACCCTTGCATTCATAGGGTAAACTCCAATCTTTCATGATATATTATCCTTATTATACATTGCTGGATTCGGGGTGTTTGTGCATATGCGCACACACATACTTCATTTGCATATCTGTATATATATATTCGTGTGGATGGGTGTGTACATGTATATATATTTCAGGTGTTTTTCATCTGTGTTCATGAGTAAGAATGCCCCTTCTCATGCTTGTTGGGCTTTTTTTATTAAGGTTATGCTAGCCTGTAAAGTAAGTTACAGGTGTTCTTTCTTACTCTTTTCTAAAGAAGTTTTTTAAGACTGGAATTACTTCTTCCTTAAGTATTTGGCAGAACTACCTGAAAGCCACCTGACCGTGAAGTTTTCTATATGGGAAGATTTCTGATCACTGGTTCAATTTATTTAATGATTGTAGAACTATTCAGATTTTCTATTTCTTTTAAAGTCAGTTTTGGGGTGCCTGGCTTTCACAGTTGGTAAGCGTCTGACTCTTGGTTTCGGTTCAGGTCATGATCTCAGGGTCATGAGATCGAGCCCAGCACTGGGCAGTATCCATCACCCAGCCACCCCATCCCTCCCACCCCCCTCCACTCCAGCAACCATCAATTTGTTTCCTGAGATTAAGAGTCTCTTATGGTTTGTCTCCCTCTCTGGTTCATCATTTTAAATCTTTTTTTGAAAAGTCAGTTTTGATTGAGTTATTTTAGGTAAGGTGCAATCTTTTAGGAATTTATAGTAATAAATTTGAAAATTTAGATGAAATACACAAAGTTGTTTAACAATATCCTCTTATTATCTTTGTAATATGTACAGGATCTGTAGTGATAGCCTTTCTTTCATTCCTGGTATTGTTTATTTGTGCCTTTTGTTTTTCCTTGATTAACCTTGTCACAGGCTGGCCAGTTTTTTCAGTCCTTTCAAATAACTGATTCCTACCAGCCACATATGAGGGATCCAGTTGTGTCATATTGTCCCAACACAGTATTTTCAGTGTTTTCAATTTAGACTTTTTAATCCTGTTGAGTGTGTACAGTTATCTCATTTTGGTTTTATTAGTTTATCACTAGGGAAATGATATTAATTATCTTTTCATATGCTTATTGGCCATTTGAGTATCTTCTTTTGTGAAATGCCTAGTAAAATTTTCTTGCCTTTTTTTAATTACCTTTTTTTCAAGATTTTATTTATTTATTTGACAGAGTGAGCACAAGCAGGCAGAGCGGCAGGGAGAGGGAGAAACAGGCTCCCTGCTGAGCAGAGAGCCCAATGCGGGGCTTGATCCCAGGACCCTGGGATCATGACCTGAGCCAAAGGCAGACACTTAACTGACTGAGCCACCCAGGTACCCCTTAATTGCCTTTTTTTAAATTGACTGGTAGGAGTTACTTCAGTATTCTGGATGTGAGTCTTTTGTCAGATTTATGTATTGCAAATATCTTCTCCTAGGCAGGGGACTATTCATTCTCTTAATGAATGTGTTAATAAACAAAAGCTCTTAATTTTAATAATGTCCATTTTATCATTTTCTTATATGGCTAGTGATTTTGGTATCCCAATTTAAGAAACCTTTGTCTAAAGTAACTTTGACAAAGAAAACTTTGTCCAAAGTAAAGAAGAAATTTTCATATTTTCTTTTAGACACTTCATTGTCTATAAGTTCCCTTTCTCATCTTTGTTGAGCCTTTCATACTTAGATCTACGATGCATCTGGAAATAATTTTTGTATATAGTATATGATTCAACCTTTAGAATTTCTTTTAATGAAGGTCTGCTGATAGCAAACTCCATTTGGTTTTTAAGTATCTTTATCTCATTTAAAAAATATTTTTTGAAGGATATAGAATTCTAGGTTGGGAATTTTTTTTTTTTTTTTTTTTTTTAGCACTTTGAGGTTATTCTACTGTCTTCTGGCTTCAGTTATTTCCCTTGTAAAGTAAGTTATCAGCTTAACAGTTGATACTCCCTTGAAAGTAATCAACCTTTTTCCCTGATTGCCTTCAGGATCTCCTCTTTCTGTTCTGTGTCACTATGATATGTCTGTGTGCTGGTTTTTTTTGTTTGTTTTTTCTGGTCCTGCTTGAGATTCTTTGGGTTCCTTGAATTATTATCTTTTATCAATTCTGAAAGATTTTCAGCTATTATATTTTGATTGTCTCTCTCATTCTCTCTTTCTTTCAAAAGCTCTGATAACATGTCAGACCTGTTGTTGTGTCCACCATGCCCTTTATGTTTCTTAACCCATTTCATATTTTCCAGTCTTTTCTCTCTGTGTTACATTCTGGTAATTTCTTCAGAATTACAACCAAACGAATTTGAGGAAGAACCTCTATTTGGTTCTTCAAGAAATGAAAATGAATTTTAAAAATCCAACAGGTGGATTAAACAGACATAGCTAAGGAGAGACTTTTTAAACTAGAATCTCAGAATGTTTGCTTCTACTGGCTAACTTAGGGATGGTACCCATAGTTCAGAGCCATGTTAAACTAGATTTTCAGCTTAATGTTTTTTTGACCAGTGTGATGTTTGCTGCAAAACTTAATGAAATTCACTGATTTGTGGTTACAAATTATCAGTGATAAGTTTTCCCAACCTCTATTCAGTGCCAAGGTAAAAAACAGGCAGTTTTCTTTAACCCTTTGGTGGGGTTGGGGGAGGAACATTTTATTTCAAGTTCACTGTTATGGTGAGGGGTGGTTCTTTGGGATGTCAGCTTTATGGGCTGGGGTCTCCTATTTGACCCCTCTTCTTGAACAGGCCCAGCACTTTCTTCTCTATCCCCATGTGGACTTGAAAATGGAAGCTCATAATCCTAGCCCTCAGGGCAAAAGCTGGCTTCAGAGTTTTCTTTACCTCTCTGGGTTTTTGCTTGGATATTTACATTTTGCATAACTTTAGCAGCTGATTTCAGCAGGCAAGCACTTACTTAGTCTGATGCTGCCAGAAACAGGTGCATAACTTTCTTATATTCTTTTTTTTTCCTGAGATTTTATTTTTAAGTAATCTCTATACCCACGGTGGGGCTCAAACTCAAAATTCAAAGACCAAGAGTCACATGCTTCACCAACTGAGCCAGCCAGGTGCCTAATTTTTATATTCTTGACAACACTATTTCCTCAACGTTGTTGCTGAAGATCCATACCTAAGAGTTTAAGGTATGTTACAATAGATATTTGGTAGAGGTTGATGGCAGCCCTTCACCTTCCTTGCAGTATCATGACTTCCTTTTTGGGAATAAAAATAGAAATTGTGTTGGTATGATCTAAAGTTACTAGCCTATATGTGGGTAGTAGGTTTTTCATTTAGAAAGTAGTTTTGAATCCCAAATTTGTAGGAATTTTTTCCCATATATGTTTATATACTGATTCAATTTAACACAAGTGACTCTTTAGTAATGTTAGAATATATTTCTATTGACCAGGACTTCAGTTGTTCCTTTGAGAAGATCAGTTATAATTCTTTGTTTCACTTTTTCCAGGAGATTCTGCTTTCTGCAGGAGAAGTGGGGTTCGGTTTCATCAGGGGTGCCACTGCTAGTACCCAGCTAACCCTGACTGCCTCTGATGAACCAGGTACTGCACTTTCTGCCATGTGTCATTACAACAACCCCATGAGACAGAGAATATTGTAATTTCCTTTTAACCCTGAGAAAATGGAGGCTTTAAAGAGTAAGCAACTTTTTCCAGGATACCCAGCTAGGAACAGGAAACTAGGACTCAAATCCAAATAGTTTAACTTCTGATTCCTTGCTCGTATGCTTCTCCTGTCTTGCCTCCCTGGGGAACATGACATACACTTTATGTACAGGTGTAGTGGGTATATATTTCACAAATAATCTTAGTTTTGTCACAGAAGTCTCTATGGCCTTAGGAGAGATCCTTAGTTTATTTCCTGTCACAGCTGATACTGTAACATAGATTTTTGTTCCTGAAATGTCTGTGTGAAGTGACGGGTAGCATTCAGTCATCACATGGTGGTGGTAGGAGCTGCACACCATGCTAGTCGCTGGCCACACAGCTGCACAAGGGGCTCCTACACAGAAAGCCAAGAGTAATGGGGGAGACAGATGCCAGTGATGTGTTGTGAGAGAACAGGTAGGGCCCAGAGGAGCATGGAGCACCGCTCACCAGGGAAGCTGTAAGGAGATTCTGGAGGAATGTACGTGCGGACGGGACCATGCTATATTAGAGGAGGTGCGTGGTGGCGTGGAGGTTCAGTGTGCCTGTGAAGCAGACTGCACCTGGGAGAAGTGGGCTGTAGCTGGGGCAGCGGTCTGTGAGGGTCGGCAGGAGAGCTTCCCAAACGTGCTGGACTCCCCACCCCCATGTTTCCCCTTCAGCGAGCCTGCAGTGGGGCCCTGAGAACAGTCTGAGCAAGTTTCCAACGCTGCTGACACCGCGTCGAAGAGCCACAGCTTAAGAAGCACTGCCTTGGAGGGACCACCCCGTGGGTGAAGGAGAGCACCACAGCCAGCCAGGTGAGCTCAGCACCCACTCCCAGCCCCAGCTCCATGGCCAAGGCCCACACCAAATGATGGGCTGCCCCTTCTTCAGCTGAGCTAGGTAGAAACTTCCAAAAGTAACTTTACCAGGAAATTAAGAATTCCATTGAATTATAAAGACCTAAAAAATGTTGTCATTTACCCAAAACTCACTTAGGCATCCTCACAGATGTCTCATTTGCTCCACAAACACCTAAGCACCTATTGTGTGCCACCCACTCCACAAGCCACTGGAAGGGCAGCAGGTGACAAAGCTCCACCGGCCTAGCCTTCTGTCCAATACAGTGGCCACTAGCTATTTAAACCTAAATAAAATTAGAAATTCCATTCCCAAGTTGCATTGGCCACATTTGAGTGCTCAGTACCTATATGTAAATAGCAGGGCAGATACAGAGCACTCCAGCACAGAAAGTTTTCTGTTGGGCAGTGCTGGTCCAATGGGCATTTAAAAATGCACTGAGTTAGCTCTAAGGGAGCAGGGTGAGGGTCGTTGAGTTGTAGAGTAGATCTCATGCAGCCTGAGCATTGTTGACGGGGTGGTAGTAGAACAGGCTGGAGAGGAACAGGTAGGAGTTTGCCTTCCATTCTAGTGTCTGTTCTTTTCCTTCAATTCCACACTCATGTGTGCCTTTCAACAAATCCCTTTCTTTAGTGTTCTTGAATGTGACTCATCACAATGAAAGAGCACCATCTAGAACTGCATTCTGCAAACTGTTCTGCAGAAAGATGTCAGGAGGTGTCCCCAACTTCCCCTGCCCTGGGAGAGACCCACAGTGCCCACGGACACTGACGGTTCTGACCAGTCCTGCAGTAAAGGAGCCTTTATGATCTTATTTAAGTTAGGTTTCCCCAACTTACAGGGCCATGTGATACAATCAGCTTGTGATACACTTTTGGATCTTAGTTTGAGGAAAGCAGACTAGAACATGCCTCTTGTACACTTTGTCTTGTTTTGCATTATTTATTTGAAAAGCCCTTTGTCAGAATGTGTTGTGTAGATGAGAGTTCCTTGCTCATTTGAAAGGCCATGGAGGACCTAGACATCCCCACACGTCCTGCCAGCAGCCAAGCCATCAGGCCTTGCCAGCTACGCAGAGAGAGCAGGCAGGCAAGGGGAGCAACATGTTCTTTTATTGATGCAAGTAGGTCCAGTAACACCAACAACTGACATCCTGCATTATGGTACAGCTTTGTACTCAGAGCTCATCTCAAAATACCAAAACATCATAGGGTGTGTATCAAATTGGGAAAATAAAGTAGCAAACATAGACACTGTATCCCATAGGTACTAGAACTGATGACCCAGTGGAACGCACACTGACATGAAAGCTCCTTAACGCAAGACGGAAAGTGTTCTAACATTGTATTCCAAATATATATTCTCAAGTTTTTAGCCTTTCTTTGTCTCAAATACATAAAGCAATATGTCCTGTCAAGATACAATATGTACTATCTAGAATGTCTGAAAAGTGCGAAAACACTGTGACAATACAGTGTAAATATTCTTGCTCCACCCAGGGCTGAGGGCGCCCCTTCCTGAGGCCTCACCTCCACATCTCCAGGCTCTCCCAGGAGCTTTGGGAATTAGCAACTAACTGCAGGCTCCTGTGGGAGGAAGCCAGGTGTGCGGAGAGCAACAAGGGTGCGTAGCTCCAAATCTGCTTGTGCAGAATGAAAGCCCCACTGTGAGGGAGAGAGAATCAGAGCGATGGCCCGCCTCTGGCTTTTGAGGAACCAGGACTTGCCATCCCACAGCCAGAAAGACAGAAAATGGGAGTGTACTCAAGTTTGGATGTGAAAAATACTTCCAAATGCTGGGCAGTTTTATGTGAGTGGGCTCCAGCAGTCGGTCTAATTTTCTGTTTCAGATTCCCTTAGGGGAGCCCCCCAACCTAGAGGAACGGAGGCGGCAGTCCACTAGAATACCAATTTGTGAGTTGCTTCTTTTCACTTTGTAGTGGAGTTTGAAGAACTGCTTTAAATGTCCCCATCCTCATATGCTCGTCATTACAGCTCAGTGTACCTGTTACAGCCTGGAAAACAGACAATTCCATCACCTTCCCCCTATATTATTTTAGATTTTCTCTTTTCCTAAAATGTAGTTGAACAATTTGCCAGACGTATTCCAACAGAAAATATGCTGCCAGGTATCCCCCTGCCCCTCCCCAATCCCCTAAATCCCTGATAAAGGAAAATGAAAATGTAAACGTTGGAAAGCCTGTACTCAAGGTTTGCTTCTAGAAGTATGCAAATGAGGCCCCCTGGCCAGCCAAGCCCTTCTTGCTGGAACCCCTCTGGCCTAGGCTTTGAGGGCAGGTGCCTTGTGGCCCAGGGCAGAGCTTTCCTGGCATTTCCCCGGCGGCACTGGCTGCCTGAGGGCTAAAAGAACGGAGTGGGAGACCGGCCCTCCAGTACTCTCTAAGGCACTAACCCCGACATCAGAGACACTGGCTAGAAGGGCGTCCAAGCAGGCAGGGCTCACATTGGTTTTGGTTGGGTTTTTTTTTTTTTAATATTTTTTCATAAGATGTTAATAATCAAAAGTAGAAAATAAAAATCTACATTTCATTAGAATAAGATGTTATCATGGATGCCATCTCCCATGATACTCTTTCCCCACCCCTCCCCGAAGCAGGGCCCTGCCCTGTTATTTAAAATAAACGACAAAAAAAAAAAAAAACTTTGTAAGTGCCAAAGGTTGATGCATGAAATAATTTTTTTTTTCCATAAAAGTTATATACAAAATGGACCCCAACCAGTGAGGCCTCCTCATCTCAACCCTTATCAATCAAGATTAAAACTCAGTGCATGTGTGTGCTTCATCCAGCGTCGGCAGGCTGCATCCGTGCCTTCAGGCTCTGTTAAGGAGAGTGGTCCTAGAGGTAGGCAGGGCACAAGGAAATGGTGAGGTGGTTGGGTTGGCAGGCCCTTCCCCTGAGCAGGCAGAGGGCAGGCCACGCTATTTGGGGGGGACCGGGATTCTAAGAACCAGCCATCAGGGGAAGGGTCAGGGACACTCAGACCCAAGTCCTCAGCCTCCCACTGACTGGCAGCCTGTGTGGAGTTACCCCTGGCTGCCTTTCAGAAGGGCAGATCCATCATGCTCCCCAGTCCTCTCCCTTCCTGTAGGCCCAGGCATGGGACTGGTCTCAGAGGCTCACAGGCCTGTCCCTGGGGTTTTCTTACCTGAGAGTCTTCCAGCTATCTTTTTCCATGTGGTTTTCAGGACCTTCACTTTCAAAGGAGGCGATGAAGAGAGCTGAGAGATGAAAAGCTCCTCAGAACCCATGTCCACGTACAGTCAGTCTGCCTACCACACGTTATCCCTTCCTTTCTAGGGGAGCAGCTGGGCCCGGGCAAAGACAGTGACCTCTGGTCTGAGCTTTTCCACAGGTCTCTGTTGCCTGGGTTCCAGGCCCCATGAGGTCTAGAGCTCCCAGCTTCCTGCTTAGGGACTGAGAAATTTCCTGGTTCTACAGCACGAACCCAGCCCTGTTCTGGCTCCCTCCCAGAGCCCCATCTCTCGTCTTCATCCTGTTCTCTACCCACAGCCCACCCTCGTGTACTCACCCATGTGGGCTGAGCTTCCCCTGTGTAGCATGGGGACAGTGATCAGGCCTGCCTTCCAGGGCAATGCCGTGAGGGCAGACGCCCTGGATGTGGGGGAGTCAGGGTGACATGTACAGTGTAGGGAGGTGGGTGTGCCGCCATGGAGAGCTGGGCCTTACCTTCCTCGCTGTAGATGGGTGCCGTGAGCAGGTAATTCTGAATCTTCTTGTCCTTCTCAAAGGGACACTCTACCTGAGTCCATGTCATGAACTCATGGATCTGTCTGGAGATCTCCCAAAATTTCTGAAGATAACAGAAGACCAACTGGCTGTTCATTTGTCACCTTAAGCTTGAAATCCTTGGTTAGGACAAGGGATATAGGTTCTGATTTCATTCTGCATCCCAGCAAGATGGGACAGTGACCCTACTCAGCTGACTTTGTGACCACGGCAGCACCTGATGCAACATCAGAGCCAGGAAGTGTCCCTAAGACCACTCTGTCCTGCCTAGGCCATCAGGCTGCAGCGGGGTCTGTGCCTCCCCTATGCAAGACCCAAGAAGGCCCCATCTGGGACTCCAGGCTGAGGCAGGTATGCCAGCCACACCCAGCAGAGCACCACCAACCAGAACATGCCATGATCTCTGTTCAGGGCCTGTGTAAGGGTCCCTAACGCCTTCCTACCCCTTACCTGTGTGAGGTCAACCCTGGACAACTCCACTTCCCCTACACCTCCCCAGTCACTTTTGTCCTACTTTCCACCCTTTGCTTCCATCTGGAAATCTGCTGCCTCCTCCTCCCTGCTCAGGTCCCTTCTTGCCTAATGCTTTCCTCACTCCCAAACCTCCAGGAGTAGCCCCTTCTCTGTCTCCCTATTAGGGTCAGTTTTGGGACCAGGATCCTGGGTAAATATAAATTTTCTGTGGCTCCAAGCCCTATAACCAGATCATCCACCCAGAAGGATTGGGGAACCCACCCTGGAGCTTTCAGTCCTAAAGGCTTTCTGCGACAGGACCACTGCCTTGCAGCGCTGGTGGCCCAGGTTCTGCCTGCCCTAGGATGAGGCTGAGGGTCTGTTCTGCCTTGGGTTGGGACAGTCTGGCCCCCTTCCCCTCAGACCACAAGGGCGCTGAGCTCACCTTGAAGTTAACATGCCCACTGGGCAGGTGGTTGGTATGGATTTTGTGCAAAAAGTAAATGTCCTTAACGAAAAGGTTGAATACAGGGATAACAATCTTCTCTCGGCTGCTGTTGGCCATCTGGGACCTTTGTGTGGCCCCCTGCAGGGCGGTGCGGTAGTTGCAGAAGTTGCTGGATGGGTCCATGTGATGCTGTGGGCAGACAGGAGGACGCGGTGGGCAGTGTTCTCCCTGCACCTGTGACTTGCTCAGAATGCCCCTTTGCAGAGTGGAAACAGTGATGGGGAAGGCCCTTCCCCACTGGGCAGCCCTGGACTGTCCTCAGAAGAGGCCTCCTTTCTAGGAGTGAGCACCTGGCTCAGTACAGGGTTTGGGTCCAAGCATCATCAGGAGAGTTAAAGAGAAGTCTCACAACTCACACACACACCTCTCCCCTGCCCTGCTGAGCCTGGGTCTCACCTTTTTTCCTTTCAAAACCTTCCTTGTCCCCTCTATGTGGACCAACACCTCCCAAACCTGATGGGCCCCATGAGACGTTTGCAGAAAGTGGATTCTGGGATCAAATACATCGGGGAAGGCTGCAAGTGAACCTGCCTGTCCACTCCTGGGCCACCCAGATGATCCGGGACCACAGGAATTCAAGCCAGGAAAAGGCCAGCTGGCTTAGTCAGCATCACCCAGCACAGGGCTCACAGGCCCACTTTTGTCAAACTGCTTCTTAAGCACTCTCCAGAACTTGCTTTAGGCAATGCCAGTTATGACTAAAGTTCCAAAGGCCGAGGAGGGCTTCAGGTACCCACCTCCTAGAGCAGCCAGGCCAGCTTAACATGCCCTACACCAGATGGCATTGTGTGCAGTGGGTTCTGAGCAAGGGGGCAGAGCATGATGGGAGGCCCACCCCTCCTCAGGCCAATGTAGGACGAGGCTGAGGTGCCTACCTCCAAGACATCAAACTTGGCCGTCTTGACTTTGGACCACGTTTTCTTCAGCCTCGCCACAGGACTGAGGTTCATGCCAGCTGCAGGGAACAGCAGGTAGGGTCAGGGTGGGGGTAGGCAAGCCATGCAGAAGCTGGACAGGAAGCCCCTGGGGCCTGGACACTCACAGATGATGGCCATCATGGAGTTGAAATTCCCGATGTTGAAGCACTCCCGGGCCACATCAATAAAGAACTCTAGCATGCGGGTCCGGTGCTTCTTCTTCACCACCTTGAGAGCAGCCAGACAGCCTCAGGGTGAGCCCACCACAGGAGCATCCCCTCCACCACGTGTCCCTGAAGGGCAGCCTGGACAGGAGCTACTCTGGGCCCTGAGCCATCCGACCCAGGGCTGGGGAGATGCTCGAGGGCTGCAGAGGCAGGAATGCAGCTGTGGCATTTTCGATGCTGGGCAGAGGGGCAGGAGAGCAGTCTGAGAGTACTAAGGGAGCCCCAGATGGACTCCCGGACCGTGCTGGTGCACTCCACGGATGGGGGTCTCACAATCACTGTGGATTGGCCGGGGGCGGGGGGGAGGGCTAGGGGTAACAGGGATGTTGGTGGCCCTGGCAATGAAGGCTTCTGTCTCCACTTCCAAAGTTTCATCATCCAAGGGGTACAGAAGTCAGAGCCTCAGGCAGCCCTGTGGGTTCAGAGAAGTGACAGTGCCACCCCACCCATATGGGCCACGCAGTGCTTACCCGGCACACCTCGGTGGCCACTAACATGCTAAGGCAGTTGAACCAGTTGTCATAGGCCTCCAGGCTATAGGTCTTGGTCAGGTCCCCTCGGCACTGGTGGAACACGACAGGTCACAGGGAGTCTGAGGACCCTGCCAGCAGGTGCAACCCCAGTCCTACCCCCAGAAACGAGCGGGAGCCATGGCCAAAAGAGACTGAAGACGATGGTGGGGTGTGGGCAGCTGGACAGGTCCAGGTCTCCCAGGACGCCCCCTCCCCAGGCTCCTGGGAACACTGGCCCCCTTCCAGTATGTATCACCCTGCATTGCTGTCTGCTGACGCTCTGAAGCAGGTACCAGGACAGACCCATATCCATTTGGTTGTGAGGCCCCCACCTCCCATGGGGTATATATAGGTACCAGGCCCACCCTAAGGCCACCCCAGAGCACACAGCAGACCCTCACCCTGTGCTTGTCCCGAGAGTCCATGTGGCTGACAATCTGCATCAGGTCCTCAGGGTGAATGCTGCTGACCCTCTCCTAGGATGGGCAAGGAGATAGCACAGGAGGGTGACAAGCCTGCCATTTTTGGGCAGGCCCCACACTCAACGTCTAGGCCACATTCAGAGTAGTAGTCAAGACCTTCTTGCAGGCGAGTACCACAGCCCCGCCTTGATCAGAGCACCCACCCAATGGGCAGGCCCTGCCTGCCCCCCCCAGGTGTAACCCCCCACCAGGGGTCTGAAAGACCCTCCCCTGGGAAGGGAGGAAACGGCGCTTCATGGGACTGAGGCGGAAGCCTTGGGGCAGTGGCTGCTAGGTGCAGGGTACCTTCCCAGCCCACAGCACAGGCAAGATGAGGTGACGGTGGGGGGAACTGGCTCTCCCCCCAAGCCCTTCACCTCCTGGGCCAGTCCTCCATCCGGGGGCCACTGCAGTTCCCATCACCCCAGCCCCTCCCATGTACACAGGGCTGCTGTGATCCGGGGACCCAGAAGCGGTGGTTGGAGCTGGCAAGTGAGCTTCACCTGACACCCCCGTCTGACCAGCTGGGGAGGCCCTGCAGCACTGTGTTGAAAAAGATGCTGGGGGGGTGGGGTCCAGTGGCCTTGAGTGAGCATTGGTGAATACACCCCCACCCGAGGCAGGGCACACGGCAGCACTGACCAGCTCAATATGAGTCAGCTGCTGAGCCAGCACCAGGGGGTCGCAGCACATGCCCAGGATGTCCTTCTGAGTGGCTGGTGGCTTAGCCTTGAGGACAGACCCTTTGTCCATGGCTGGTGAGCGGAGCTTCTCCCGCAGCTCCTGAAGCTGGTTTCGGGCAGCTAGGGACAGCAGCAGGCTCTGTGTCATTTGGGCAATGGCCTTCTTCACTGTGCCGTTCTCCTGTGGGGGCAGGGGACAGTGAAGGTGCTGGTGTGGGCTGACAAGACCAGCACCTCTCCCAAGGAACCTATCTCCTAAGGATATGCCTAACTTTGAACCCACATCCCTACTCAAACCTGCCATGAGCATTTGGGCCTTTGAAGACAGAATGAAATACAGTGTGAGCTGCTCTGAGTACAGCTGAGGGTGGCTTAGCTGGCTACCCTGTGGGGTTGGGAGCTGAGGGCCAGGCCAAAGCCAGGGGTAGGCTTCTGGGTCTGAAAACCATGGCTTTCCCCAGGGGTGTCCAGCTGAGAAGCTACTATTGGCCTTCCCACAGCTGGGGGGGGGGGTTTCGTCCACAGTAGGGAAGAGAGTATCTGGAAGGGCTTCCTCCAGGACCAGGAACCTTCACTCCCTGGGTGGGAGCAGCCCTGGCCCTGCCCAGAGCTCTCCCTGGGCTTTCTGAGCCCTCCAGCCAGACAAGCTGCTGAGCACACAGCACTTCCCAGGTTTCCTGTCTCCACAAAAGGCCAGGAGTGTGCTGGGGGCCAGAAATGCAGACAGGTTCTTACAACCTCTTCCTAGGTTCCCACTCCACTCACCCCAAACCCAGGAAAGGGTGGGGCCTGGGCTCATTCCAGCCCACCACTCAGGCCACAGGGTCTCCCATATGCAGAGGGTGCCGAGGGCAAGCCCGGCCCATTGCTGGACAGCTGAGCAGTCTTCTTGTGGGGAGGGACACAAATGGAGCCACCGAGCAGTCATCTTGAAAGGGTGACAGCACAGAAGACTCACCCTCCTATGAGAGTCGACCCCCTCCCCCCAACATATACCCAAGGAGCTCTGCCAGGGTCCAAGGAAGACCTCACCTCATCACACTGTGTGACCCGGTGGGTGATGACCTTCAGTTCAGCCATGGCCTTCTCATCCTGGAAGTCGTAGGGGAAGGCCTCCGTCCATTCCTTTAACAGCTGTACAATCTTGGCTGAGAAGGACTTCAGCTTGGCCTGGGGCAGCAGGGCATAGAGTAAAGTCACCCTCCAGAACGGACAACAAGATGACAAGTGGTACCAGCCTCCCCATCTCCCCCACACCCACTACCACCTGCAGGACCTACCCTCCCCCCCGCATTGGGGTGAGGGTGCTAGGTAGTGACATCCCCCACCCTGTCCACCTGTGGTTTTCTTGTACCCGCTTCGTTTCCTATTCCCCTTAGTTCACCTCTCTTTCACTTAAATAAATTCATTTTCAAAAAATTCATCCTCACTACCATGACATAGAAAACTAGTTTCCTTTGCTGTAATTAGAAGTTACCCATTTAAAAGAACAACAATGAAAACCAAGCAAAATTATTAATGAGAGACTCTTGCCTGCCCCCTCTCAGTTAAAAGCAGGTTGGCAAGTCCTGGGAAGGGGCGCAGACACTCAGGCATCCCTCTCCCGGCTTCATGTCCTTAGAGATGGGCAGGCACCCCTGCTGTTGCCCTGGGTCCACACACATGTAAGGTCTGAGGAAGGTGTGCCAAAGCCTTGGCCGCAGTGTCCCAGCTGGTTCTCAGTGCCCAACCCCACACTGTCCCTCTGAAATGACCACATGTGCCCACACCCCTCCTGTGCCCACCACAGCTCCTCAGCACTGACCAGCTCCCTGCCTGCCTGTACTTGCCCAATCCAGACGGTTCTTGCTGCCCTGGGGGCCTCTAGCCACTCATCCCCACATCTTTTTGTCCACATCTGCCCCACCCCTGCTGAGCTGCCTCCAGCCGGCCTGATCCTGGCTACGTACCCAGCTGGTTCCCTAGCGATGGCACCTCGTGCCCTACAAGGCCTCTCCCAGCTGGCCGCCTCACTCCCTGCAGCTATTCCTTCTCGCCAGGGTCCAGTGCCCGCAGCATCCGGGAGGCCTTGATGGCACTCCCCCCAGATGACCACAGCACCCCACACTCAGCAGGAGCTAGAGACTTGGACTCAAGAGGCCCTACAGTGCATGTCACCATGGACACAGCCTGGCGGGCTCACCCCAGGCGCTTCTCAGGCTTCTACTGTCCCCACGCTGACCTTCCACCTATAATTTCATCTCCCCGCCCACCCCACATGGCCTTATTTTCACCTGTCTCTTCAGGAGCCTTTCCTAATCCTCTGCGGTCAATGCCTGTCTCCTTGCACCCTGGGATGGCCTCCTCTGACAAGGAGACTTAGCCCGGAAGCCTGAGCTGCAAACCCGCAGGGACAGGAGAGGGAAGGTAGAGGACAAAGTAATCAGCAAACAGGGGCAGGACATGCTCTGCCGCAGCCCAGACTCGGCCCTGCCAGTTCTCGGGCCGCACACCTACCACCCCATCTTCTGCACCAGACTGGGCTTCTAAAAGCCTCATCCGAAGCACATGCCCCCAGCTGTCCTGGCCACCCAGAGCCTGGCTCAATCAGAAGAGACAACAGGGGCAAAGAGCCCTACCGAAGTCACTGAAAACCACTCTGAGCAGGAGTCAGCCTGCGAGGGCTGCCCCCCGACTCCCACCCGCAGAGTGGTGGCTGTTCTGCCGGCTGGGGGCCTGGCGCTGGCCAGGACTGCTGGCGGGGCTGTCTGCTGTGGGCCACTCCTGAGAAGAGGTGTGAGTGCCCACCGAGACCAGCTACTTTCAGCATCCCATGAAGACTGCTTGGCTCTGTGTGTACCCCATGCCCCACGGGAGCCATGCCCCAGGGGTGCCAAGCGGGCCAGAGACAAGCCAACCTGGCCCAGTCAGCCAGACCCATCGTGCCGGCGTACTCTGAGCCTGCTTCTCTCCCCAGCGTGAGCCGGGGGGAGCGGGGATGCAGAGACAGGTAGCCCCCATCAGCACCTTTACCTTCTCAGACCCCGTCTCCAGCTGCTGCCTCCGCTCCAGGCAGATCTGCCCCACACGGGCCAGCAGGTCATGAGGGGGGATGAAGACCCGGGAGCTCAAGAGAAATGTAAAGATGTATGTCCTCTGAAGAAGAGAGACCAGGAGAGAGGAGGAAGAGTAGGTCATAGCCGGTGTGGCCCCCTCCAGGTCTGCTCAGAGCCTGGCTAGCCACCTCCCAGGCCCAACAGCACCATCCAGCAGCCGTGCCTTCTCCTGCGTGCCTTGCTGCACCTCGAACGCCCTTTTCTCTCACGGCTACCCAAGTCCTGCCCCCCCCCGCCCCCCACAAGGCACAGATCAGATCCCACTTACCGGCAGCTCCGGGGTGCCCCCCTAATAAGCTCAGCTCCCAGCAGTCTTGCTCTGCTGGGATTCTCCCCCACCCTCGGTCCTTCCCCACGAGGGGAGAGAACACCCAAGCCTGGATGTCGGTGGGATTCTCCCAACCTGTGTGAGCCCATCACCTAGTCCACAGTGCCCCCAGGGCCAGGCTCCAAGCGTGCTTCTCCAGGTCACCCCTGGCCTTACCCGGGGAGGCCAGTTGGGGGCAGGGTAGGGCGCTCTTGGAGCCAGCACCCGGCAATAGGGGACCGCTGCAAGCAGTCACCAGCCAGCTGTGGGCCTTATCTCCCCACTGGCACACCAGGGCGGCTCTGTCCCACAGCCTTGTGCCCTTGTCACTGGGCTGTCTGGGACAGGTTCTGAGGGGTCCTCATGATCTGAACTAAAAGGGAGCAGGGCCCAGGGTTCTCTGAAGCACTTTGTCGGACACGGGTCAGCACCTGTGAGCTCTCCACACTGGCCCCTGCCTACGGACAGGTTCAACTTGGGAGTGGGGGAAGCTGTTTGGGGCTCTCCTGGATATTCTACCCCTACATGGCTGCTGCAGGCTGGGGGGCACCTAGGAACCTTTGCCTCCACTCTGGGCCCAAAGGGGCAGGTCTGGGCAAGCTGGGCCATGTTTGCTGAGAGCACAGGCCTGTGGAACAGGACTCAGGGCCTCAGGCCCTCACTGCCCTCATGCAGCCTTCAGAGCCACTGGAGGAAACTCTCCTGGGAATAGCAGGGGTTCCTCTTAACCGCCCCCCGCCCACCCCGCCACATACACACACATTTCCTGTGTCCGGTCCCCAGGCTGAGCGGCACAGGTGCTCAGAGATCTCAGCTGGTCGGTGGCCCCCTTCTAAGCAGATGGCTCAGAAGTGTGATGACAGTCACCCAGGCATCACACCTTGGAGTTCTCAGCCAAGGCAAGAAGAGCACACAGGGAGGAGCCCTGCACTTCCAAGGAGCACAGAGATTCACTGGTGTGCATGCATCCCCAGCTGCCCACAGACATGGCACAGGGGCAGTGGGGGAAGGCTGCGGGAGCTGGTGCCCAGCTGGGCTCGCCAGCCCTACCCTTCTGCTCTACCACCCCTTTACGCTCTCCTGGCAGGCCGCTGTGATGCCAGGGCATAGTGTCTGGGCGATAATCCTGGGTAACGGCTGAGGTGGTTCCGCTGGGACAGACCTGAAAGAGGAGTAGCTCCTCCCACAAGGCCACAGAGCGGTGCTGGGGTTGGAGGTGCCAGCCCCGGGCGCTGATGCCCTGCCCTAGGCTTCTTCAGGGCCTCAGCGCCGCTCTCCCCGGCTCTGCCACTGGTCCCCAGCGGCCAGGTCCGCACCACCAATAGCAGCCCCGGCTCAACTCTGGGAGGGTTTTCTAGTAGGATGGAGTAGACAGAGCCCCAGGAGGGAGGGAGGACGCCCGACATGTTGAGGGGGGGCCAGGAACACCCAGAAACCGAGTTGGCTCCAGCACCATTAGATAACAAGCCTTCGCAGTTTGACTCTCCGAAGGGAGTGGGCAGGCCCAACACCACTGCTGCTACGGGATGCCCCTTATCAGAGGCAAAAGGGAAGCCACACGTGGCAAGGGAATCTTTCTAAGAATGTGCCCATGGCATCTTGAAATGAAGAGGGAGGATTTGAATTGCTGCCGAAGGCCAGTCCTGCCCACGCAGCCATGTGCCTTGGGGTCTGCATGCTGGCCAGGCGTGGCGGGGCTGTCTCCCCTTTTTCTGGACTATGGCAGTTCATGCACAAAACAAACTTCCCAGCTCAGGGACAGGACACATGCTGGGTGGACCCTCACCAGGACCCCAAGGCGCCAGCCTTTCCCCTTAGACTCCTCATCCTCCCTGAAGACCCGGTCCAGAGCTCAGGCCCCTGTCCCACCCCCTGTGTATCTGCTTCCTTGTGCCATCAAGGCTCTCTCCCAGCTGCCCGGGGTCAGCCCGGAAGTCACTGCGGGCTCCTCTCCCCTAGGCTGGGGGCAAGGGGCAAGGCAGGAAGTAGGGCTGAGGCTCCCTGATGGCCTGCCCCTCCCCATCCCAGAAGCAACCTCCCCTGGAACCTGGGTGACCCCCACCAGTCCCACCCATCTCCAGGCCCTAGAGACTCACATCCGGGTAATAGTCCACTGTGGGGACCAGGTGCTCCATCAAGGCCTCCAGGGACCCAGAGATGAGGCGTCCCTCTTGGAAGACGAGGTCCCCTGAGCTGCCGGCCCCGCTTCCTCGCTCCCCCATGCCGGGCTGCCCCTGTCCACTACAGCTGGGCCCGAGTATGCTGGAGAAGACAATGGACGTCTGGGGCATAGTTTCCTGGGAAGAAGAAAAAGGCATCAGAGGCCCAGCCACCAGGCCCTCCTCCTCCCGGGCCAGCCTGCATCCTGAGTGTGTGCAGGTGTACAGTGCGAGCCCCAGCAGGGCCAGGAGGGGCACCCCACCCAAGGGTGGGCATTAGAGCTCAGCTCGGGTGGGCAGGCAGGCTCCTTGGCCTGCAGCCACCAGGTGTCTGATAAATGTTTCTTCAACACCTGCTCTGTGCATACGAGGCCTCGTTCCTGGAGCCTAGACACACAAAACCCTGCCCCTGGGGTTACATTCCGGTGGAAGAAGAGAAACTATGGAGGAGAACACGAAGCAATGTAGGGGTGGTCAAGGCAGCCTCAGCTAAGATACCACTGGAATAGACTGATGGTGTTAGTCATGCAGCACCCTGGAATGAGAAAGGAACATTCTAGGCATAAGGGATAGCAGGTGCCAAGGTCCTGAGGCCAGTGTGTATTGGAGGGAAGAAGCAGAGAGAACCGTCTGAGGAGTAACAAACCAGCCTATGCACACCTGGGGGCTAGGGAGCCATGTGCTCTTCCTCCACGTGAGACAGGAGGCAGGCGGACTCCGAGCACAAGAATGACCTGACTCAGGGTGACGGTCAGTATTTCTGCTGTGTGGAGACCCAGCAAGGGAGGATCTGAAAACCAGTTGGTAGGTTTTGTCATAACCCAGGAAGAGACTGCTCAGGTCAGGTGGTAGCAGAGGAGGGGAGCAGGGTCGACTCTGGATGCTGTGAAGGATGCTCTTGGACCTGAGTTATTGACCAGCATGGGGAAGAACATGAGGGCGGTGTTTGGGGCAAGATCTGGAACTTGTTTTTGGACATGCTGAATTTGAAACGCCTATTAGTCTGACATGTCAGACAGCAGTCTGGGGGGTGCTCAGTGCCCCCAGAGCTGGGGCCGCCCACAGGGGCCTGGCCTGGCCTCACACTGCAGCAGAGCCTCATGGAAGTCCTCCTGAGGTCTAGGAGAGTCTGCAGCCCGCCTGGGCCTCAGTTTCCCATTGCCCACGCAGCTGGGAGTGCCTGGGAGGCGCCGCACGGGGACGAGTGAGGCACATCTGCAGCCCGAGGCCTCTAGTGCCCACGTGCGTGCTCTCCCTCCCACAGCCAGAGGGGCCCGAGCTACTGGTTTGACCAGTCCCGCCGTCTGCCCGCTTAGAGGGCAGGCAGGTCTGGGTCAGAGTGGAGGAGCGGGGCTTCCTGTGCTCGCTCCCGTGTCTGGTGAGCACTGGCCAACAGGCACCACTGCCCCGCACCGGCCTCCCCAGGCAGCCGTGAGGCCCTGCCTCCCCAGAGGTGGAGGCCGCCCCGCATACGCCCTCCGTGGGCTTCCCAGTGCTCACCCCTGCTGCAGCTGCTCCCGGCCCTAGCCTGCTTTCTGACCCAAGCTGGCGCAAGCTTCTGAGCCCGTGTGGCCTCAGTTTCCCCACCGTGCGAGCAAACAGTAGTCATGATTATTTTAGTCACGAGAGGGCCCAGGGCCAGTGTGCTCCGAGGTCTACACAAGCAGATCCGACTACCACCCCACAGCACATCAGCTGAGCCTCACCTGAGGGGAAAAGTGCCCTCGGCCCAAATAACACAGGCTTACCTGCCAGTCACCCGAAGGCTGCCTTAGGAGTCTCAAAAAAATCCTCTGTAAGGAGAGTAAGAGCTCAAGGAAAGCCCGAGGGATTGACATGCCCTTGGTCCCCAGGCTCAGCTGCCCCACTTGGGATGGGGCTTCAGACTCACAGAACACACCGCTCAACACATGGCAGAATGCACATTCTCAGGCCCTGCCCCAGACCTGCCAAGTCAGAAACTCAGGCGCAGCCCTTGATCTGTGCCTTAGCAAGCTGTCTTGGGGTGGGGGTGGGGGCGGGGGGCCGCTTCTGAGGCTGCTCAAGTCCATGTGTCTTCGGCAGCCACCTGCCCGTGGCCAGCCCAGGAGTTATCACCCTGCTCCTCCCCCAAGGCTCCTCACCCTCATGGGGGTCTCAGTCCTCCAGTGCACCCCACCTACGCCCTGCCCAGCCCAGAAGGCCACAGGGACAAGCTGCCAGGAGAGGCCCATCCCTTCGGCTCGGGGAGCAGCTGGGCTGAGGACCCCATAACTGGACTCCCCAACTGCACAAGATCCCATATTGCCCATTTTTTCAATGACATCAATATAAGTTTACATAAATGCCCAGAAACACGTGGCCATCCACCACACCAGTTACAGAGTTTACTACAAGGGAGCTGGAGAAGGAGGAGACTTTCACTTTCCATTCTATACATTTGCAAGCTATTTGGTAACTTTTTTTTTTTTTTTAAAGATTTTATTCATTTATTTGAGAGAAAGAGAGCACATGAGAGGGGGGAGGGTCAGAGGGAGAAGCGGACTCCCCGCTGGGCGGGGAGCCCGATGCGGGACCCGATCCTGGGACTCCAGGATCACGACCTGAGCCGAAGGCAGTCGCTTAACCAACTGAGCCACCCAGGTGCCCTTTGGTAACTTTTCTAAATGGCACATCCATTTTGTCACTTTTAAAATAACTTTTTTTTAGTGCAAAGAGGCTGAGTTTTGAAACCAGCACTTTTTATAAAGGCATGTTAGAGAGGATGAGGTCCAGGGCTGGGCCTGTGGATGAAGGCAGGAGCCGAAGGACCACCGTGGGTCCCCAGAAAAGGCAGGTTTCGAGGCAGGGGTCTGGAACCCACTCAGAGAACAGGGAGGGCCCACGGGGGCTGTATGGGACCACCCCCGAATCTACCCTCCCCGGGGACCCCCCCCCAGGGATGCTGCCTGCCCACATGTCCTCCTCTCTCCCCTCCTCTGTGCACCAAGCTCACGGGTCCTGGGGGCCTCTCAGTCCCTAAGAGAGCCCCCACCCCAGCCATGAGCACTGAGGGGTCTCCAGGTGCAATGCCAAGTGGGCAAAGATTTAGAGCACCCTCGGGCTTGAAGCCCACTCTGCAACAGCCAGCTCCTTGCCCCTGGCCAAGTCTAACCAGCCTCCACTTCTGCAGCCGTTAAGTGGGGCTGGGGACAAGCCCTGCGGAGCCCTCTACCTGCCTGGCATTTCCGCGGGCCACCGCACCTGGCCCCATGGTCCCCTCTGTTCTTGCACGGGGCGTCCTCCCCTCCCATCCCAGCAAGAGCAGGAACTGCCATCACTGGCCACACTCCTGTGTGTCCACTGTCCCTGACTGGCCCCCTTCTCGGGGAAGGGCCACTCAGAGTGGCTCCTATCTCGGGTGGGGGAGACACAGCAAGTGTCATCATAATGAGAAACCAAGCTCAGACTGAGTCCATCACACGAGCCATCAGTGACACCAATGTGAGCACCAAGTCGTCTCGCTAATCATCACGGACCCCACAAGAACCCCCACAAAACCCATTATTCTCCATACGCTGCAGATGAGAACAAGGCACAGAGACACTAGGGGACCGGCCCGGGTCACACAGCTAGGTCGCGGCAGTGCCAGGACGGCCGTGAAGGCAGTCAGGGGGACCTGAACCTGAGCGTGGCCCGGCCACCTGGAGCTCTGTCAGGGTCCTCGACCTCTCGGAGCCTTCACTTCCTCATCTGGGGAATGGGCACAGGGTGGGCTACGTCCGAGGTTTGCTGGGAGGATGAAATGGGCACTTGTGTAAAGTGTGGCACGCGAGACGTGCTCTCACCGCCCCGTCCAGGAGGAGCCAACTCCACAGACGTGCCCGCTCAGCACCCGGCGCAGGCCGTGGGGGTTGCCCAGGACGCACAGGTCCCCAGGGGCCTCAGAGAGCCCGAGCCCGCACGGATGCCCTCAAGCCAGCGCGCTGCCCGAGCTCCGCAGCAGCACCACCAGGGGACTGGTGCGCGGGGTGCCTCGGCCCCGGTCGGACTCACCGGTCCTCGGGAGTTTTCGATCCTCTCAGAAAGCGGCTCTGCTCCAGGCGAGGCCCAACCAGCAGCACCTCCACCGGCCACCTCGCAAAAATGCAGGACGGGTTCCAGCCCCGGCCTGCCTGCCGCGTCAAGACGGCGTTTTTGTGGGACAGGCTTGGGCCTTGGAGAGCGTTCGCCTGCAGGTGAGGAGAGCCTGCCTCCCCCCGGGTCAGTCCTGCCGCCGGACTGCAGAAGCACCTGGGGCGCTTAAGAAAACACTCTGCCCACCCGCCCCCAGCAATCCTGACTTAACCGGACTTGGCCGGGCGGTTTTCAGGGTTTTCTAGGGGAAAATGGGAGCAGGGGGTACAGGGGGCCTCTCGCTCACCTCTGCTGCCCTTGGCTACACCCAGACACGACCGGAGGCTGTGGACACTCGGAGGAGAGCTCTGGAAGCCTCCTGAGGCCAGGCCCAGGACGGGGGAGGACGGAGCCGGGGTGGGCCAGCCTTCCACACCGACTTCCCCAGGGCCCCAGGCTGGGGCCCACCCCGACAAAGCAGCAGCCTCTTGCAGGGAGTGGGAGACGGACTCACACCCCCCACCTCCTCCGCTCCTTGCGGCTCCTCCTCTTCGGGCAGGAAGGCAAGCACCTGCCAATTATAGACGCGGCTCACAGAGAGGCAGGTGAAAGTGATTGCCCGCCTCCTGGCAGCTGGGCCTCACGAGCTTCCCACCGTCCTCACGGGGCCAGGTGAGCGCAAGGGCAGGCCCGGGGCCCCGGTACCCAGGCGCAGGCGGGAGAGACCCGGCCCCGAGTGCAGAGGCAGCAGCCACGGGCCAGCGCGGGCCCAGCTCGCGCCTGGTGTTACTTGCTCTCCGGGAGCGTCTACGGAGGAGTCCTGCCTGCAGCTGGGCCCCAAGTCTCAAAGGGAGCCGGGGGGCCAGGGGGCCAGGGGACCGGGAGAGAGGCCACGCCCACTGCTCCTGCCCTGGCAGGGTGGCATCGTGGCGGCTGGCGTGGGATGGGGGCAAGCAGGGAGGGCTGGTCCCAGGGACCCTCCGCTACCTGCCACCAGCCGTGTCCAGGAGGCTGGCCGTAGGTGAGGCAGGCCAGGTGGGCCAAGCAATAAGCTGCACCGTCAA